TTCTAGGCTAGTTTTTTGGAGCTGAATTCGAATTTAGCAACCATTTGAACATTTTCGAAAGTGTTTTGGTGACTTCGTAACATGTTACGAAGCTGTCAGAGCGGTTGGCACACGTACTACGAATACCCGTCACGACGCCTACTGGTTGACCTGACCTGACCTGACCCGACCTGGTCTAAATGCTTCAAGACATCATCTGTGATCAAAACTAACACGATATTCGTGATCAGCACCCGAAAAACCCCTTAGCAGCCACACTTTACGACTTACTAACAGGTCCCGATTTTCCCGAGTTTGGGTCATTGACCTGACCTGGAAGGTCAACCAATGACCTAGGACCTTAAAATTGGGTATCATCGGCTTCCTCTCGTCACGGGCAACACGCTCGTTTTTTCCGCGAAGCTCTAGCTTGATCAGGGGCCAAACGGCAAGGGGGGGTCCAACCGACCCCCCCCCCCCTACACATTAGAAGCTGGCAAACGCCGCACACATGCGAGGGCTAGGGTCGTGTGATACATGTTTTATGGCCAATTTTACATTTAAAATTCAATGGTGTGAGCTAGACGGCCGTAGACGGTGTGAGTGGAGGTCAGGTCAAGGTCAGGTCAAAGAAGGTCAAATTTCAAAGTTGATATTTTGCATAAAAGGGGTATCTATTCGATGCAACTCATTACAGGAAATCCAATAGTCTTTGGCTTGCTTTGTGTGTTCTGTGACGGCTAAAAATTGAATTTGAAAATTTTACGTAATAAATTTTGAGTAGCTTTCTTGCCATAACTTTGCTAAAAATGGAGCTATCGAGTTTAACCCGCGCACCGACGGGGGTCTGCGCCAACTTAGTACCGACGGGGGGGGGGGGGGGCGGATGACCGCCCCCCCTGAGATCTCGAGAACGAAGCAAGATAGCGACAAGCGGTAAACGGCATCGGATACGCACGGACAAGGTCTACAATTTTTACAAAGGTCATTTTCAGGTCAGGTCAAAGATGACGTCACAGGGGTCGAAAAAGTCAAAATGGCGGCGCTAGATATGGAGAGGGTTTTTTCTCGAATAACTTTCGAAGTAGTCAAGATAGGAACAAACTAAGGGCATCATCGTGATCCTCTCGTCAATCCGCATCGAATGATATATATGTTGACCTCGAAAGGTCAAGGTCAAAGGTTGACCTCAGGTCACGTGACCTCGAGGTCATCATGTATATCATTCGATGCGTCTTGACGAGCTGAACACAATGAGACCATCCGCGCGGCTGTATCTTGTTCCTGTAAGGAGTTATTGGCAAAAAACCTTTGGTGACCTTTGATGACGTCACATGACCTTACAGCTGCCCAACAGCAAAACAGACCTCAAGGTAGTGAAGGTTGATCGTATGTGAAGTCATGTATGGTATATGGGGCCATTCCGACCCGTTTTAGTGGTAAAAACAGGGAGTTGATTTTTCCCCCATTGACTTATAATGGGGAGGTCGCGAAATTGACCTGACCTTAGGTCACCGACATCAAAATTCCGAGATATACAAATTGTAGCTACTAATGACCTAATAACATCCTGCGACTTTCAAAGGCCTCCGACATCTACTGTAGCTCTGGCACGGTGACAAAGTTGCAAAAAAGTGACTTGAGGTTGGGTCATTCAAAGTGACCTGGTGACCTGACCTTAAAAGTTAGGAGGTTCAAACTTGCACACCATGTGTAAAATTGATTAGAGAATAGTCATACCAAATTTCGCGGCGCTACGCGCCGCGGTTTTCCCGCTATCCGCGAAAAACCTCAGGGGGGCGGATATCCGCCCCCCCCGTCGGTGCGCGGGTTAAGTTTGGCATATCTAGAGCAGATAGTTCTATAACATATATTTCAGTTTTAATTTTGAAAGTTGTTGGTATTTTCGGGGTGTTATACTTCTATGGTTTTGATGGTCAAAATCAATTTTTGTTTAGAGATAAGAGTTAGCAGTTCGGTAGCGCTGTTTATTTTACATCTTTTTGATCTTGAATATTTTTCGTTATCTTCAAAACTGTAGCGTGACAGCTCTCCCCGCTAAATCTTTTATTGGGTCGAAAATGACAAAACATGGCATCCCTCTGACGTTATTTGTGACTAACCTTTCATAAGAGCTCTGGAAAATTTGGTCACAAGGTGTAAAAATGATACCCGGAGGGGTCTTGAAAGTTTGGTGCCGACATTTGCTATACTTTAGGAGATATCGACTTAACCCTCGCCCGTATAGGGGGGGGGGGGGTCGAACGGACCCCCCCATGGTTTTTCGCGAATAACTCGCGTAAAAAGCGGCCGATCGCGACGAAACTTTCAGTACCCTCGCGTTCATCAATTTTACACCTACCCTGAAAATTTCATGACCCTGACCCAAATGACCTTTGACCTGTGACCTACTTTTCGAGACCATGTTTGGCCGGAATCGCGATTCGGCGTATGTCGGCTCGCATTAGCCGCGCGTTTGCAGTCTTTTCGTGGTTTCAAGCGTTCAAATATGTGATATGATGTTGCCTACATGCATTAGGGTGGGTGTCAAGGTCACCTGAAGGTCAGGTCAGGTCATTGACCTTTGATGACCTCGGTTCACTTTTTTCGAGTTTAACATGTTTCTAGGCCAGTTTTTGGAGCTGAATTCGAATTTAGCAACCATATGAACATTTACGAAGTAGTTTTGGTGCCTTCGTAACATGTAACGAAGCTGTCAGAGGCGATTGCCACCTACTACGAATACCCTTACTGGTTGACCTGACCTGACCTGACCCGACCTGACCTAAATGCATGAAGACATCATCTGTGATCAAAACTAACATGATATTAGTGATCAGCACCCCGAAAAACCCCATAGCAGCCACACTTTACGACGTTCTAACAGGTCCCGATTTTCCCGACTTTTGGGTCATTGACCTGACCTGCAAGGTCAACCAATGACCTAGGACCTTAAAATTGGGTATCATCGGCTTCCTCTCGTCACGGGCAACACGCTCGTTTTTTCCGCGAAGCTCTAGCTCGATCAGGGGCGAAACGGCAAGGGGGGGGGGGTCCAACGGACCCCCCCTTATACGTTCACGGCTGGAAAAACACCAATACGGGCGAGGGTTAAAAGGAGAGAGGGGACCGTTTTGAGCCGCCCTCCCCCCTCAACGGGGCTTTCAGTTGCTGCTCTCACAGAACAGTTGGTTATATTACAACGTAGTGGAATTGCAAGCGGCAATATAAGCTTCCTGCCAGCGCCGGACCAGAGTTTAATAATGTTACATGCAGGCTGAATTTTAACATTTAACTTTTGAATTTTTAAACCGTTGAGCTTTTTAGAAGTTGTATGAACTGTTCAGCTCCTTTTTTGGTCCATCACAGCGGGCTTGTATGTCATTTGTCAACCAAAATCGAATTAAAAACTTTTTATTTGGTCTGGCTACCTTGCCAACTCCTTAACTGGATCGTCTAGTAGCTTTTGATTGGGCACTGTCCACATTGTCTAGCCTTTCGTGTCATAGACACTGTCTATGACACGAGAAGAGGCTACTGACATCGTTTGTCGCGGTTGGATAATACCAATCCACGTCCCAGTGGCTGCTCGATCGCACTTTCCCTGGCCCACCTCTCCCACCAGGCTAGACTTTGCCCGGCACAGCCGTCGCCTCAGTGCCTCGGGCGGTGACCCGTTCAAAGGGGCTCACAATTCGTATGGTGCCGTGGCTCTCAAACCAATACAGAACAGTGAAACGCAAAGGCTCACTTTCCATATAAGGCGAACGGCTGATTCTGGCGCCGGGGCTTCATTCATGCTAAGGCGCCCAATCACAGCGCCGCATTTCAGTTAGTGTCGGGCGCAAAAGCTACTATGCTCCGCCCCTCCATCACGTGACCCTGCCCTCACGTGGCCTCAGTCACGTGGTGTTTCCACTTCTTGGCGCATGGCGGCGCTAGTCTCGCAGGGGCGGTGGTAGCTTGCTCCCCCGCCGTCCGAGGGTGATGGGTAGCAACTGCTGGTGACTGTACGCACGTGCCCCACCCACCGGTCAGAATTACCCGGTCAGCAATGGTCTGACTTATCAGTCATAATGACCCTATATACGTTCATTAAATATGAAAGGGGCGGACGGTATTCGTGAGCAGATTTTAGTTTACGAAATTTCACATGTAGCGCTTACTTTCACTTCACCTATTTCGTTATACTACAGGGCACCTTACAAAGCTTTTAGAAGAAAGCACAAGGCATCAAAAACTTTTGAAGGGTTTTGGTATGAAATGTAAAGATAAGAGCAAGCTCACTGATGGCAATCTATTTGACTTCTTTGCGCCGAAAAGTTGAAGCCGAGGATCCAATAAGTCGAACTGCAACACCATGGACGAACCATATGCCCAAAGTTCGAGGCCCTAAAAAGACCTGTCCCAACGCGCACGATGTTAGCTACCTGTGGCGCGTTCAGGATCTGAGTGGAGGCCAGGATGTTCACTAAATGGTGACTCATACTAATTTTATGGTGTAATTTTGGGTGTCATTTTCCAGTATTACTGTATTTTTCCAGTACCTCTGTCGCTGCGCATGAGTATCCTCCGCACCCTGTATTCTCCGTGCCGTGCTGCGGTACGTCTGGCCGCGTGCTGCCCTCCCCGTGTGTGCCCTGTGTGCGGTGTGGCGTGCCGTTCTGACGAGCGCCCGGCGCGCTGTGCCCGTTCGGTAGCATAAGCCGACTAACGCTGCGGTGCGCCGTCCGCCGTCGATGATCGAGGAGGAAGCGGAGCCGGCCGACAGTGGCTCGGAACCCGACAAACACTCCGACTACCAGGTGACTAAAGGCTGAAACAGACTCTTTACGCGTTCAGGAAATCGCATGCGAGAGCCTATTCAAATACAATATAATTTTCCCGCATCAATCGCATCCGGGAGGTGCGTGCGATTGATGCGAGCGTGCTTCCATGTATTTGAATAGGCTCTCGCATGCAATTTCCTGACGGCGGAAAGAGTCTGTTTCAGGCATACTAGTGGAGACGGGAGAGGAGAGAGGGTGCATTGAGCATATGGCACAATCCTATTACTGAGACGCAATGCAGGATAGACACATAGGCTCGGGAACAGGGCACTATTCAATTACGAAGACCTGCAGGGCATATTATTAATATGACATTGCTCGACCACGTAGACGCAGTATGATATGCTTCGTCATCCGAACACTCAGACATAGGATCACAACGCAGGGTACAATGGAGGATACGGCGTTACCCGACCATACAGGCGAGCAGAAACAGGAGCTCTTCTGTGAGGCCACATGGAGGGCAGGGTAGGATCTTAGATTGTGTCTGGCGTCTGATGAAGCCTGTCTGTTCTTGTTTGATGTCGGATGTCGCTTGACTGTCTAATATCGCTGGCCGCTGTGACACCTCGTATATGTGTCTTCACCAGCTGACGTCTTATTCCTCTGGCACTGACTAAAAAATCGGCATCTGATGTTCGATCCTTGACAAGTGACAACCCCTGCCTGTGCCTTTGTCGGACATCTGTCACCAGTCTGGCGGCTCTCGTATGTGCCTGATGTCTGTTGTTAAACAACTTCTGTCTATCTGACGTTTAACACTTGTGTCTGTGTTTTCCAGTCGAGTTCCAGCAGAACCAGCTGGCTACCACAGTCACAGCCGATTAACATCAGGTAAGCGGGCATCGGGATTTTTTCGGAGGCAAGGACCGAAGGAGGAGTAGCCGTTGACCATTGATCGCACACCGTCCCCTGCATAGACTGGGATGCAATTTCCTTCTTACTTACTGCTTATAGGCCGCCCTGACTGCCACATACAGTCTATGAGGTGGCTAGAAAAGCAAGGGCGCGTTGTGTTAAGCCCGACTTGTCCTGTACCGTCCGTCCCTCTTTCTAACTGCTGGTCTGCGCGTTCCCCCAGCCGCGTGGCCACGTCTCCCGCGCACCTGTCGCCGCCGCACCAGGACCTGCTCCGCTCGTGCTCCCACCCCGGCTCCCCGGACCGTAAGGGAGCCGGCACGGGAGCCGAGGAGCGGCCCCGGAGCCTGGAGGGTCTGATGGAGCGGGGTATTACCGAACCACCGCCGGCAGTGCGACCAGGTGGGTGCCGGGAGACGGGAGATGTACGGACATAGACGGGTGGGGCGGAGAGACATACATAGGCAGAGACAGAGACAGATGAGCGTGACGGATAGACGGAACAGGGAGAGACGTGCACATATACACAGACATATAGACGGAATAGACGTAGACGGACTTAGTGCCGGTTTATTAGAAGTGAGCGCTTAGCCAGGAGCGAGTATTTGGTAGATTTAACCCTATTCCTGGCGGGGGGGGGGGGCTCAGGAGCCCCCCCCCTGAGGTTTTTTGGTTATTTCTCCCAAACGCGTTGAGCTAGGAAGCTCAAATTTTCTGACTTTTCCTAAAAGGCTTCTACGCAACATGTCTGAAAATTTTGAGTTGATCTGACCTCAGGTCAGGTCACCAGAGGCGGTTTGGTGACCCTACCTCAGAAAAGTTTGCAATCACGCCAGAGCTAGAGTTTTTGACCGATCAATTTCTTCTCTTCAGGCTCTAGTTAGGGTACCAGTATGTGCAATTTGTATATCTCGGAATTTTGATATCGATGACCTAAGGGCAGGTCAGTTTCGCGACCTCCCCATTATAAGCCAATGGGGGGAAAAATCAACTCCCTGTTTTTACCACTAAAACGGGTCGGAATGGCCCCATATACCATACATGACTTCATATACGATCAACCTTCACTACCTTGAGGTCTGTTTTGCTGTTGGGCAGCTGTGAGGTCATGTGACGTCATCAAAGGTCACCAAAGGTTTTTGGCCAATAACTCCGTACAGGAACAAGATACGAGGGGGTATCGAAAAGTTCTGATCATCACATAGAAGATATAGACCGATTTTGATGATTTTTGGTTGGTATTATATTTGGTTCTTAAAAACAATGCTCCCGCAAAGAGAATCCTGAGAAGTGGTTTTATCTTATGTAGGAGAGACTTAGAAGTAAAAAAGATGAGTATTGGGCCCATTGAGGACCGAACCGTCATCCAGCTAATGCATTTGAAACGGTATCACACTGAGAAAATGCATCAAGAACGTGAAATTAGTTTATGGCGAGGAAAGTCCATCTCATGCACTTACCGAAAATGAGGAAATAATTTTCAACTTGGTTGCATGGCCCTTGCAGGGGAGTCAAGAAGTGAGTGACTACCAGTGACTGACAAGGTGGTGACTGTGAAGGAAGTGGAGGACCTCATCCTTACAGATCGTCGTGTGGCCTTTCAGACGATTGTGCAACAGAAAGGTCTCAATGCTGGCAGTGCCTGAAAATATTATCAGCGAAGAACTATAGACGATAAAGGAGTCAGCCCGCTTAGAAGTTCGTGTGTCTACTTTGTTCAAGAGAAAATGCGTCTTGGCCTTTGGAAATGAAAACTAGGTCTTTTTTAGGAAATTGAAGACATTTTCGATCATTTGATGACTTTTGACGAATGCTGGGTCTATGTGTATGATCCAGAGACAAAAAGATGATCAAGAAGTTTAAGCACGGCACATCTGTCCTTCTTAAAAGGCGAAGATGCAGAAGCCGATATGGAAGGCCAATGTTATCAGTGTTGTGGATCTGGCGTAGGATAGTCATTACCGACTGTCTGATGATGGTCGGATAACGATAGCAAGCACTACTGCACACTTTTGAAGAAGTTGCGAGATGGCCTCAAGCAGAATCGCCGCCAAAAAGCCCAAGAAAGATGTTTTATCCGCACCGACAGCGCCCCCGCCCATTCGTCCTGAGCTGCGATTGAAGAAACAACATGATGTGGACATTAAATCCTACCGCATCTAAGAAATTCACCTGACCAGGTATTAACTGACTCTTAATTGTTACGGGAGATGAAGAATCCTTAGTATGGCCGGTGATTTAAGGACAGAAATGACGTCATTGATGAGATGGAGCAGTGATTTACGGGACATTGCGAAGGTCCTACAATGACCGCCTGAGGCAGCTCAAGAAACGATGCAATAAGTTTGCGGTCGTGTGTGGTGACTTGTAAAGGAGTAATGAACATCATGTAAAAAAGTCAAATTTCTATCACATCTTTTTCATGGTGACGATCAGAACTTTTCGATACCCCCTCGTACAGACGCGTGGATGGTCTCATTGTGTTCAGTTCGTCAAGACGCATCGAATAATATACATGATGACCTCGAGGTCACGTGACCTGAGGTCAACCTTTGACCTTGACCTTTCGAGGTCAACATATATATCATTCGATGCGGATTGACGAGAGGATCACGATGATGCCCTTAGTTTGTTCCTATCTTGACTAATTCGAAAGTTATTCGAGAAAAACTCTCTCCATATCTAGCGCCGCCATTTTGACTTTTTCGACCCCTGTGACGTCATCTTTGACCTGACCTGAAAATGACCTGAGTAAAAATTGTAGATCTTGACCGTGCGTATCCGATGCCGTTTACCGTTTGTCGCTGCGATGTGTAGTTTTTGAGATCTGAAGGGGGGGGGCCGAATCGGCCCCCCCCCCCCGCCAGTTTCTTGTCCCGGCGGAGCCCGCCAGGAATAGGGTTAACAGGAAATTATGAGTATGAGTGGCCGGACGTTTACTCACACTTATCAAACTCGCACCCACCACCCTTACACTCACCACACTCCACACTTACACTATGTGAGTGAAGTTAACCACACGGGTGAATAGAAAAGGGACAACCTGGTTTGTGATTCGCCAGTCTCGGTGGGATTCGATGTGGAACCCGTTTCAGAAGGTTGGAACTTGAAATGGTTGCCATGGATCCAGATGGTTGTCGAAATACACCGGCATCGGAAGAAACACACCGGCATGAACATCGGAAGAAACCTTGCATCGGCTCGTGCAGGGCAAGGGATTAAGGCCATTCTTGAACACATTCCAACACGGGCAGTTATTCGCCACAAGCTGACGTATAATTAAGTGCATATTTTGCAGGACCTATGGAGTCGTTCTCGTGACACGCTGTTCAAACACTCAGTAATGAGACACGGCCGCATTTTGCAATTCCTTTGTGTATTTCTTTGTATTTTTCTGGCAAAGTTTGATGGAAGTTAAAAGCTCAGAATCTAGGGAGGCTTGTTGAAGCGTCCTACTTTGCGAGGAGTTTACTATGTACAGACGGCATTATATCTGGTTTAGTTTATTGCTGTATTATGACCTTTACCACACCTTTACGTATTTACAGTAGGCGAAATTGGGCCGTAGGCCCAGGAGTTCTATCAATTGGTTCTGTAAAGATGAAGCTAATTGTTTGCTTTTTAGTTGCAAGTGTAGGTACAAAATATTAAAGCATTCAAGAAATAGGTCGTTGAATTGCCATTTCAGTTTCTCATTGTAGGTTGAAGTTCAGCTTGACGAGCGTAATATTATGAATGAGATAAAGATGTGATGCTTTGGACTTGCTCCAAGATGACGCAGTTGATTTGTGTTCCAGAAATATTGACGCATTGCGAGAAGGCGCCATTCATTATTTCTTGTTTCCATTGACATCCTATCTAAATTCTTTTGACGCACTAACCTGGCATGTGACCATCCCCTTTGATGTCATAAAAGGCCACTCACCAAACCATCCGCAGTCCGCACAGTATGGAGAGCACCGTAGCTGCTGTTAACAAGGCCCAAGATCAAACACCTCTCCCAAGCCGACTGCACTGAGCTAGTTCGAGTAAGGTTGAGCTATCCAGAAATTTTGCAATATCAGTAGCATAACTGACGATTTCAAGTAGATATGCATGGCTCTTTTCCTGCACATCTGAGAGAGTTCCGTTCGATTCCGTTCAAACCGTAGCTCATATTTCCGAACTTACCTCTTCAGAGGAGCTCGGCGGCGGTGCGCGGCGGGCGCGTGCCCCGTCTGTGCGCTCGGCGCTGCTCCAACTGCTCTCAGCGCTCCGTCAGCGGACGGCGGCGGTCCCCGGCGACCGGAGCCGGCCCGCCAGCTGGGCAGGCGGTAAGCGGACGCGGGTGAAGAGGCAGACGGGAGCGGGCTTCACTCCTTTCCCGCTCAACACACTCCCACCTACATACGTCACGGAGAGCTAGTGGTTCTGTGTCTCTGACAACACGTCAGACAGAGCCGTAACTCGATGACCAGCGAGATCACTCCTATGGTCTGTCGCAGAGCTGTGCAATCCAAGTTAGTGAACGCTTTCCTAGCTGTGGTTGGACTTACTGTGTGAGAAGACTGAGTGATCCTCTGAAGTGCAGCTGTCACAAAACGCTTTCCGGAATAGAACTCTCGTCGCTTGGTGGCTGCTATCGGAAAACGTGTGGCTAGGTCGCTGCTATTCTGCTACTTTCTAGGTGGTTGGGCTGGGTCGGATGAATGATGATTCTGTCCCTGTGCGCCCTCTAAGTGGAGCTTGAGGCGCGGTTGCTAGGCCTGTCCTCTTTCCACCATGCCACTGCGGAACGCTCAAATGGGTGCTTCGCTTTACACGCTTTCCAAAGCACAACACCGGCCTAGGGCGCAGGCTACACCGTGTGCTTTACTCTCCAGTCTCCACCAGTTCTACTGCATGCTGGGTGCTACCTAAGGACGTTCAGAGACACCACACAAATGGACAATAAGAAGAGGTATAATATAGAGACGGACTGAGACCTTGTAGGCACATGGAACGACAGACAGACGGGCTAGCATATATCAGACATTGGCTGATGATAATCGCCCTATTCAAAGTGTCCTCACTCTAAAGACGATAATTAGAAATAGGTCATTGCACGATTCTGTACAAGCTAGTTGTATGTATCTTCAACTACTATCCTGCACGTGCAGAGTGCTGTATCGTCTGAGGAGTGTGGGGCCGGCCGTTCGGGTCCGGTGGGGCGCCCCGGGGTCATTGGGGGTCATTGCATGTACTCCTCTCCGCGGCACGTATTTATCATAATGGGCCAGCACGGGCCAGGCACGAGACGGAAAATATTGCTGAAGGCTGTGTATGCCAGGGCTGCCGAGGCCTCAGATATATGGCATAGTCCAGTGGTGCTGCAGGCTGCTTTTGGGGGCTCGCACACCGACACATCAGCGCATTCATTCTGGTTACACAGTACTTTGTCTGAGTGGATTGTAGAATGTAGAGCATGTAGATGCTGACCGTAGAAATTAGATCATTATACGTTGCGCAACGTAGGTACAACCTCGCTCTGATCACTTGCCATCTTACTACCTTGATAATGGCCCCCAAATCAGTTATCTTTCGAGGGATTGTTTGTTTGTTTGTTTTGTTGGGTTAGGCCCTTTCGGTCTGGCAAGACCATTTCAGAGCCGGAAGGATGATAGGAATTAGGGGGAGACATTGGTCTGGACAGGTACCCTAGTGAGTCACCGGGGCTGGGCCCGTCCCAAAGGACAGGCCAACCAGCCCCCCCCCCCTCCAAGTACTCTCTGCACCCGGCTACGGGTGTGCTCCCTTGGGGCCCGCATGAGATAGGGCTGCCTGTCCAGCTCGGACCGAGGGTAGCGGCGTGTAGGAGAAGGATTTGCTTGTCCTGAGGATGGAAAAGACGGACGGGTCGACTTGCGAGGGAGATCCCTCCTACTTCCCATTTGTTTGTTTTGTTTTGTTTGTTTGTTTTGTTGGGTTAGGTCCTTTCGGTCTGACAAGACCATTGCAGAGCCGGAAGGATGACAGGAATTAGGGGGAGACATTGGTCTGGGCAGGCACCCTAGTGAGTCGCCGGGGCTGAGCCCGTCCAGAGGACAGGCCACCCAGCCCCAAGGCACTCACTGCACCCGGCTACGGGGTGCGCTCCCTCGGGAGCAGCGGTGCCTCTCCAAGGGAGCAGCCCGCATGAGATAAAGTTGCCTGTCCAGCCCGGAGGGGGGTTGCGGCGTGGAGGAGAAGGATTTCAGTATCCTGAGGATAGAAGCACGGAACGGTGACTTCCCATGCAGGGCCCAAGTGAAAACTAGAAGACGTGACGCTGTAGAATGCGAGTAGAATGCGAGGTAGATGCAGATAGTTTAGGCACGATGACTAGATTAGACGGTCAGCTGCGGCAGTAAAGTGGTTATTGGACCAGAGCGCATGTGGCGGTGTAGTCCGGCCATGACCCGTACCGCCTCTGTCTGTGATGACCCCGGTGCAGTCCGACCCGACCCGGCCGGCCCCAGGACGCCCGACTGCCCCGCTATCTAGTTAGCGTGTGACTAACTTCGGCTTGTCTGCCCGCCAGCAGACGGCGTCAGCGAGCAAGACGACGAGGACGAAGGTGAGCCAACAAACCGGGGATATTATGATGGTAAAGAGAAGCTAGGTGATCGTGATGATAAAGAAGAGCTATCGAGCTACTCAGGACCATTTGTCACTTAAGCGTGAAAGAATACGGTGTGACGCCAGATTCTCTTGGGCGCATACCTATTTCCCGATTTGCAGGTGACAGCTGGAAATTAAACTAACAATATGGCATACTGTCGATTAAATAAATGTAGTCGTCGCGAAGTATAACTAGCTAGTTAAGTAGTTTGAAGTAGCATCTGAATATTCAGCCATATACCCAAGCGATATGTGTTTATTTATCCGTGACTGCCAAGCGTTCACAGCCCGTGCAGCCCCTGTTACGGCGTTCCATCCTTTACCATCCCATTCAGTTATTCTATCTCTTCCCTCCCCATCAGAGCTGCTCCTTCTACTACCACCTCAGTCTGTGGTGACCTCAGTCACCTTCGGCAGGCCGCTCCGTTCTGTCTTTTACCACCTCATTTCAATTTACCCGTACCCTTTTGACCATTACCCTTTCCGTAACTCCCCTAGTCACAGACACTCCGACCATGGCCACCTCAGTTACCGACCCCTCCTGCCTCAACAAAAGTGCTCCGGCAGCGCCACCCCTTCCATTAACCTCTCCCCCTTCCACATACATAGCTAATCCGTTCATTACCACACCCCTCCCTCCCTCCCCCCACCCCAGAGCTGCGCAGCCAGCGCCACTCGATTTCCTCTCAGACACGGTACGGTACCCCCTCAGCCACTAACCCCTCCCTCCCCCCCCCCACAGAGCTCCGCCGCCAGCGTCACTCGGTAGTCGGTACCATCCCAGACACAGTATGGTGCCCCCTCAGCCACTAACCCCCTCTCCCCCCCCCCCCCCACAGAGCTCCGCCGCCAGCGTCACTCAGTACCCTCGCAGACACAGTACGGTGCCGTCTCACTAACCCCCTCCCCCTCCCCCCTCACAGAGCTCCGCCGGCAGCGTCACTCTGTACCCTCCCAGACGCAGTACGGTGCCGTCTCACTCACTAACCCTCCCCCCTCCCCCCGTCCCACAGAGCTCCGCCGCCAGCGTCATTCGGTACCCTCCCAGACAGTTGGCGCCTCTCAGCCACTAACCCCCTCTCCCGTCCCCCAGAGCTCCGCCGGCAGCGTCACTCGGTACCCTCGCAGACCCAGTATGGTGCCCCCGCAGCCACTAACCCCCTCCCCCGTCCCACAGAGCTCCGCCGGCAGCGTCACTCGGTACCCTCCCAGACGCAGTACGGTGCCCTCTCAGCCACTAACCCCCTCTCCCCCCCCCCCCCACAGAGCTCCGCCGGCAGCGTCACTCGGTACCCTCGCAGACCCAGTACGCCCAACAGCTGTCCATCCTGAACCAGCAGCTGCAGCTGGGAGCGCCCGGCGGATCGGCCAGCTCCCTGTTCTCCACGGCTGTCATCAGCGGGTCGTCGTCGGCGCCCGAGCTCAAGTCACTCTTCACGCCTGTCACGGCCATCGGTGGGTAGAGGGACGGGAGGGGAAGGGGAGGGAGGTGGGATCACACGTTCTGCAGTATTTACTAGATGGCGGGGTGGATGAATGCGGTAAACCAACCGTGGTATAGACTAGGGGAGGTGAATGTGGATATGTTCGTTTAGGGAAGCTCAGTGCCCGTGGTTTGAATTACGGGTAGTGGAAGGGCGACAGGAGGCAGGGATGTTGGAGGGGCGGGTTCAGAGGGACATCGGGGTAGCGTCAGGGCAGGCGGGGATAGGTAGATGTCAGCGAAAAGCTAGTAGTGGATATGCTGGGAGTGTAGTCCGTGCCTATTCATCACAGACTACCGTGCAGCTCCGCGGGATGATACATATGCTGAGGTATCTGAAGCAGTGAAGAACTACGGTAATTGACTATCCTATCCCTCCCCGCTCTGACAGGTATCGAGGGCTGCGGCGGCGTGCCGTCCATCCGGCCTTTAGAGACGCTGCACAACGCCATGTCACTGCGTCAGGTGAACGCCTTCATCGACCGGGTCACCTCGATGGAGTTCCGCGCACCGCCGCCGGCGGCCGCCGACCAGCCGGAGCGGCCGCCGCCGCTCGGCCTGCACTCACCAACTCACAGTGAGTCGGAGAGTATAGTCACACAACTGACACAGTACTAACCGGCCGCCGCCGCTCGGCCTGCACTCACCAACTCACAGTGAGTGGGGCACCTACCTAACACATCACTAGTAACTAAACACATCACTGCCCAGCCGGACCGGCCGCCGCCGCTCGGCCTGCACTCACCACTCACCAATTCACAGTGGGTCACACTGATCACCAACTTACAGTGAGTCTGAGAGCTCACCAACTCACCACAGTGAGTCGGATACACTCACCTCATACACGGGGAGTCGGGCAGCTGTGAGGCAGACATCTTCAGTCAGACGGCAGTCACGACGAGGAAAGCAACCTACAATTAGTCCAAAAGCTCTCCGAGTCACGGTTTCCTGGGAAATGAGCTGTTCAGCAGACCATAGTGTGAAGGAAGGGACGGCCGCCGCCGCCGATGAGCGGTTCGGTTCATTTCCTCAAAGTAGCCCACAGTGCGAACTGGTCACGTGAACTCAGTCTCAAACTGATCGTGACAGGCACAAAGTACCCGTTACTAACCACGCGCCAGGAACTTCAATTAATCTAGAAATAGCAAATCACGGTGACTCGGACACTACACCGTGTCTTGTGGCTGTCAGGTGATCCGAAAAAAAAAACTAGGGTGCCACCACACGCCGAGATAGGGTTACTTGCGCAGTGCGCACTGTCAGACTGATTCATCGGGCCACGGACGGCGTAATCAGTACTCAGTCGGACAGCAACGGGTATCCCAGGATGGTTGCTTGAACCGTCACACCAGTAGCGCAAGTTAGAAGATGTCTTTCAGTATCCGCTAGTCTAGCTGTTGGTGCTAGCGTGCCCGTGCATTTTAAGCTACCACAATGTTCACATAATTTCGACCACGATGATCCACCAGCGGACCCCGAAATATGCTCGCGGTCGCATTTAATCGTCGTTCGCACAGTTTCATTCCCCACAGCGTTTTTGCTGTGCATGTAGTAACGGACGCTCGTTGCGTTTTATGTATATTACTCGTGCTTTACGTCGCATTTAACCGACTGGGCAACAACCGCAAAAGCACGGAGCTTCCCACGGCGTGAAATGTCCCGATAATACACCCTCCCGGACGTCTTGCACCCAGTATAACCTCCATTATACGTGTGAGCATATTACCAGCTAACGCCAGCCTGCTGTCGTATTCTGTGTAGGTATTACTGATGCTCCTCAGAGCTAGGTAGGCACTAACAGTGAACGCAATGTATGAGGCCGTATCGCCGCCTGTGACCGCGGCTGTGTAGTGAACTGAGTGTGCCACTACCTGTCAGTGACGCTATATGACAATTTGCTGGTCGGTGACACTGTGTGACAAACGCTCTCCTGTGCCTGTCAGGTCTCAGCATCAGCGGTCCATCATCATTCGTCTCATCTCCGGGCTCTACGACACCGCTGGACGGGGCGAGAGCAGTCAGCGACGGCTGGTAGCACCGGCTGGTAGCACCGGCTGGTAGCACCGGCTGGTAGCGCCGGTTGTTACCGCCGTCATGCAGAGGCTTCAGTATCTGCGGTCCCACAGTGGCAGACTGCACTGTCGTCCTACAGAGGCTAGAGTTTGGGTCCGTGATGCCGTACTACAGAGGCTCTATGGTCGGTGATACAAGACTTCAGAGGCTATGGTCCGTGATAGCGGCCTACAGTACGTCAGTGGCCCAGGGTTCCGCCTGCTGGCCCAGATGATCGCAGTCAGTGATAGGGTCTGTCTCTGTGGGTTGCAGTCTGTCAAAGGGGCCGACTTAGAGACTGTAGTTCGTTACAGAACCGACCTACAAGCTACAGTTTGGTACAGGCTGACCTATTGACCGCAGTCCTTGACAAGGCCTGACTTATTAATTATAGCTCGTGATAAGCCGCCACCGGACCGATCGGACGCCGGTGGCGGCCGTCCCTTCACCTTCCGTGCAATGCGCGCCGCCCGCCGCGGTGGGCGGCCAGTGATGACGTGATCGTGAGTTAGTGACGTCAGTCGATGACGTACCTGACGTCAGTGATGTGACGCCGGAGTATTATCAGTGTAACGGCCGAGCCGGTACTCCGGTTGAGGTGTTTTGTATACGGCGGCGCGGGCGGTGACGGGGTCGGTTTGTCGGGCTGCCGTGCCGTCCGCGCCCCACTCATGTGCAGCTGATTATCGCCAACAGATGGCTCAGTGTGGCGCCGCCGCCGCGCCGCCGCGCACCGTGATAGTGTCGCCGACCGGTCGGTGGACAGTCTCAGTCAGGGCGCTGTGTATGCCCGATAACTCATCAGGAGTATCGCTCTCTAATCGTATTTATCTTGCTGTGTGACGCGTCCTCTCAGAACAAACAACCTCGTGATGGTCGCCCGTGTCTCACGACCCGTAATCGCCCGATAGGGGCGCGCGCAGTGTTCGTTTCAGGACTGCGCGCCCGTGAAAACGGTCCCCGTCGGTCGTATCGATGCGGCTAGTGAATGCACCGCCGGGGGTCTTGGAGGTATTTTGATACCGGGGATTCATGAGCATGTGGCTGCCAAAGTGTTCAGCGCGCACCATTGTATGTCATTTCGGGGGACACCGGGTATTTCGGGACATTCGCCGATGTGTCTCACAGTTGTTTCATGTTGGGTACCGTTTGGTACCACATTGTGTACCAATGTACCGTGCCTGCGTACCTAACCGCCGGTACCCCATATGAGCTGGGAACACCCAATACAGACAGACTGAGTACAGAGGCCGTGTATTGATGAAGCGGTGGGTGGGTCGGGTGGGGTGAGCTGTTACTGGGTGAGGGTGACCAGGGCGCGCACCACGTCGCCGTGGTGTTCTCGCAGACAACGCTCGGCACGGTTCCGTGGAATTTCCATCTCGGTCATCTGTAACACACCGGAAAGGGGACGGGGTTACCAGAGGGGAGGAAATACGGTGGTACTGGTTCAAACGGTCATATCATCACCAGCGCAGATCATCAGTCTTGACAGTCTATTCATAGACCTCTGTATACCGAGGCCTATCGTCAATCAAAACATCCCGTCCCCTGTGCAGTCACTCCCAAACCGATCTACTCCGCCCCCCCCCCCCCTAGCTCGACGTTTGTCATCTGAGCTCGTCTGGCGACAGAACCGTGACTCTCCTCGCCAAATGCACGGTCATCGTCACTCGTTCCCAACGGTTCGTCCCGCACCAGCGCCTGGGGAAGATACGGCGCAGCGCGGCGACAGCGCTGAAGCGTCAGTCACTCCCGTTTACCAGCGTGATTTTGCAGTTTCCGTGCTCGCGGAGCATTCTGTTCAAGACCGGAGAATGACTGACGGGTTCCGACTCATTTTTCTGCGACGGTAACTGGTGATTTCAGGACGCACAGAGCAGCTCTCTTCGAGTAACTCCCATGTGCGAACTAGCAATTTGGGCTTGGCAGATTTATTGCAGTCTATTCAGGGACAGGAACTGGTGTTTTCGGCGCGGCGAGACTGGTTACAATCACGTCTTTCTCACGAGTTTAGCTCGGAATGGTCATGGCTTCTTGGCTTCTATCTACCGTTCTGCACATCTGCCTTATCGCTGGTGACGCCAGACGCCGAACGGTTTTATCTCGCTGTCGCTGCTCGAGTCTGAGAAGCGGCTATCAGTCTGCGGCATCCACGAAACTATCTCACAATTCTGCTCCCACATTCGATCGATCAATGTGGGTAGATGAGCTACATATTAAGCTGGCGTTAGAACCAAGCCTTTCTTGGACCGTTGGCTGTCTCATTTATCAAACTACCGCATATAATAGTTAGTTAGAAAAGCCAACCGATTTCTGAGACCATGCGGGATACCTTTATTGGAGGAACGACAATCAAGACAAAAATAGACTATCATACAGAATAACAAACAAAAATACGCTGCTCGCGACATGCAAATGCTAACAGAAAGGACCATCTAAAATCGGTCATACGTCCGTATTTGTGGCACCCTGCTATAAACCAGGCGGGGGAGCTCCCTCAAACCCCTCACACTAGGACGGTATAGGTATATAGCTGACCCCCACACAGACCCAACTACCGCAGTCCGGCAGCACGGAACCCCCGCCTGCCGGCCGGCCGAGCGCTCCCTAACTGGGAGGGCCGCGATAACACAACCGCCAGCCGCCAGCCACCCGGCACAAGGCACTGAACACGGCCCAGAAATGCGGACATCGGGAGGACGCGCACACAGGCGCAAACCGGGCACCTCCCAAGGCACTGAACACGACAGGGACACAGGACCAACAGGGCGCAAGCGACGGCCTTTAATCAACACGGCACCACACAAGGCACTGAACACGATCAGGTCATACGGTACCAATCGGGCGCCTCACTAACTGAAGGGCGCACGCCGCTCTAGCTCAATTATGCTCTTTTACGAAAGCACTGCTGAATACGTCTTTCTCGTCTAACCGCTCAGACTCTAACTGAGCCAATAGCGATTTCGGCGAACGAGTCTCCTCTGAGATTCGGGCTACAATCAGGTTCCAGCACAAGGCCCTTGTAATCAGTCATAAAATCAATCTGCGCAGAACAACCCAATTCACCTCCGATTTTACAGCCAAAGACGTCCGTGGAAGACGCCGCGGTACAATATCATCGATACCAAAATATCAGGTAAAAAGATCTGCGCTCTTCGGGAGCCATCCAGCGAGGTCTCAAAATCCATTAACGGCTATAGCTGGCGTCCAACGCCCTCAAGGCACATCAGTTCACAGCAGACGCCAGCCAGCCTGCCGGCTTCGACCGCGAGTTTGTACAACCATGTAAAGGCACTGTTGGAAGCGACACAGACATGCGGCGGCGCTCGGCCCTCAGGGGCGCGCGTCCACCGCCGGTAGTTCCTTTTCGCCCGCCGTGGGACCCATCTGTTTACGAATGCCTCGCGTGCGGGCCGCGCTGAAGAAGTTCGTGACGGTGCGCTGGGGCAGGTCCAGTTTGCTGGCGATCAGCTGCCGCATCGCCGACGAGGGCCTAGCCGTCACGTGGTAGATGTCGATGAGCGCGCGCCTCTGCAGCGGGCTGATCTGGGAGCGCAGCGGCCGTCCGTCCGCTGGCGGCATCAGCTCCGGCGGCGACAGAGGCGCCGTCTGCTGCTGCGGGGGTGCAGGCTGCGCGGGCTGCTGCTCGACAGGCCCCAGCTGAGTGGCGAACGTCAGCTCGGAGCCAACCGGCGCGCCGTAGCCGCCGCTCAGCTCCTCGTAGCCGGGCAGCGGGGCGCTGTAGAGTGGCGGCGGCCGCTCCTGGTACCCACCTCCACCCACCATCTGCTGCTGCTGCACCACCGAGTCCTGGTAGGAGGGCGGCGCCACGGCGGTCGGCCCGCCGCCGGCCAGCGGCGCGTACGGCGTGCCCACTGCCGGCAGGCCCGGCTGCGAGAACTCGTCCTCGCTGTAGCCGGCCGGCTCGGCGGACAGGCCGCCGACGGCCATGCCGAAGCCGGGCAGCGGCTCCCCGGGCAGGCCGCCGACGCCCATCGGCGACTGTTGGAGCGGCGGCCCGGCAGCGTCCGGCCGCCGGCGGCGCTGATCCTTCTGCGAGCTCTCGGTGCGCCGCTTGCGGTTCATCTGGTCCTGTTTCTCGCGCACTGTGTCGAGCCGCTCCTGGTGCGGCCGCTGCAGCCAGCCCAGCATCTCCTGGTAGGCCTTGCGCGTGCGCTGGTCGGCCTCGTGCCAGGGTACCGGTTTGCGGAGCAGCGGCGTGAAGGCCGAGTTCCATCCGAGCACGGTGCGCGCGAACACCGTGTGGTGGATCTTGTTGTCGGTGAGCCACTGGAGGACGGCCTCTGCGACGGGAGCCGTGTCGACGGCGCCCTGCCGGCACAGCGGCGGAGGCCGGCAGCGTCAGAGCGGGCGGAGCGCCGCCGACACGGCCCGGCCGCTCCGGCCAGCGGGCGCACAACACAACACGGGTAATGGCACAGACAGAGACACACATATACGACCAGACCAGCGAAGAAGCCGCACACAGCATAGACAGACGCAGACTCGACTGGCCAGCAGGGCTGGCGGCCGCACAACACCACACAGATAATCGCACTGATACAGTGTTCTAAAATTGGATTTTGGTTGGGTGTGACGATGATGACCAAAAAAATCTAGGATGAGAAAAAAAAAACAAGTGAAAACCTATATCACTTTCGCAATAAAGGCGTAACGCTACGCTGGCTGATAATAAAAGAACATACCATTCCTGACCACCAAAACTAACCGAAAAAGACGATGCAAATAGGTAAGGATGATCTACGGCAGAATTATAACTTTAGCATCTGATCGCCAAGTGTTTCTAAATCCGTCCCATTTTATCCCAACCTTTGTGTTTGATTGAGACTGATGAAGTTAAGAATCACCCTTGTCTCTTATACAGCTAAGAATGAATACCTACTTCAACCAGTGAGATTTCATTTTCCTCACAAGTCAAAATGCATTGTCAGAATTGAATGACTGTACAGTGGCCATCCTTCTCCTAGCCTTAAATCAATGCCTTCCTTTCCATTTCAGATGCAGACAGCAGATATTACCGTCAGCATCTGCTAAGTTCCTACTCATGTTTACTGGCACGGATCCAGGACGGTCCTTCTGCCTGTATATTTCTCCTAAAGAAGATCATCCGCGGACCTCCATCCTCGCGACGCCAGTCACCATCATGCGAGCGAACTAGGTCTTTAAGAAGCAGAAGATGCAATGATTCTGTTGAAATATGTTGTCATATCTTAAAGGAAATAGTTCACTTTCACGAAATTATTTTTTTTGCAACGATTTATTATTTTTTATGTTCAAAATAATCAGCAAAGAAAATAAAACCTTTTTATAACAAAAGATTTTTTTTCTATATTTTGATATAGGAAGAACTTTTCAGTTTCTGTAAGGCACACGCGATCCAGTATGAAAAGAGCATGGGTCCCGAAAATTCTTCAGAAACAGAGAAATTATCGCAGCCACCGGCATTTGGGCGATCTGCTCGATCTGATAATGTTCCCCTGAATGTCCTAATTGATCAGTACGAGAATTTCTCTAGAGTTCTCGTAGATAATTTCTCTAGTTTCTGAAGAATTTTCGGGACCCATGCTCTTTTCATACTGGATGGAAATATATGCAAGGCACACATCCTCAACGCAAGACACCTTTTTCGGGACGAGAAATAGAATATCTTTGCCTAGGGTGATCGTTGGGCTGTAAAAGCTCCTGATTTATGCTCGTCTCAGCCCAAGCTACGGAACTGCTATTCCAGTTCAAAACCCATGTTAAAGGTAGTGTGCCACCTTTGAAAGATTTCCCATTTTATTTTTCCTAGGATAAGAAGCTTCTGTTTTTACCTAATATCGCAAAAAAAAATCAAAAATGGGCCTGGAATAGTGCCTTTTTCGCCTAAAAGTTTATCGGTTTTTAGATATGTATAACAACTGTAGTGGGCTCACCTGCAAACAGGCGTCGGGCAACAATCGCGAATGCGGCGCACTTGTGACAATAAGCAAAGGTCATTATAGTGTTACGACCATACGACGTACGGGAATGAGTTATCAGCTGTCTAATCGTAGACAACACAATGTCGAGCCTTAAACTGTAAGCCCGTATTGGTATTGTTTCTTTTATTTGGCTGTCTAACATTATTTATGGTTTGATATATGATTTTATGTAAAATAATTGATATGAAAAAGCCGTCTTATAAGTTATGACCCCATTTCACCACACGCAAGTGGCAGAAATGACAATGATCAGCTGACGCATTTTTCTTGGCCGAAGTCAGAGCGCGCAGCCCGACGCACCACCACCGCACCACAAAGTATGAACAGAAGCCGCGCCCAAAGCCAGGGCCCCGGTAACGTGAGGTAGCCGAGTCGGGGCAGCGTGCGCTGACCCAAGCCGGGGCCGCAGCTTTGGGCGCGGTCTACCGCATCCCCGCGGGCAGCCCCGGGCTATCACATGACAACGGGAGGACGCGCGGCTCCGGCTTGGGTCAGCGCACGCTGCCCTGACTCGGCTACCTCACGTTACCGGGGCCCTGGCTTTGGGCGTGGTCTACCGCAACACCTAACAGGCGTGTTCGAAACCGCAGGAGCTGATGATGAACGAGTTTATCGAAACTTGATTGGATGAGCATATCGGTAATAGCGATTTCAGTGTGTGCATTTATTGTTCATAGTGGTGTGAAATGTGGTTGGGGTACGACCGACAACCCGTCGGGGCGAATTTCGCACTGGGGTACTCAAAATTTGAAGAATTTAAGACGTTTCCATGAGTTTTGAAGGTATGGATAAGTTCTAAAAATCCGGTTCTCCTTATCTGGGCCATTAACTCCATACGGTCCAAGAAAGCTGGCACACTACCTTTAAAAAGTGAACTATTTCCTTTAAGGAGGGTGGAGGAGGGGCGGGTGAGGGAGCTCTCCCTATATGCAGGCTTTGGTACTAGTGCGATGTGGAGAAATTTTCTTTCTTTTTTAAGCAAAGGAAGTGGGAAGGAACTTGTCGTTGCCGTTGCAAAGGGTATCATTCTGTCGTCCTGTATTATTGATTTAGTGCAGTTGACTCAGACTGTGTAATGCGTGAGGCGTGGTCATCACTGTGACACTGTCAGACATAAAATCTTAGGTAATCATGATACCCTGATGGGCAGTTTGTTGACGTAACTGATCGCTATGAAACCAGAAACCGTATAACTCATGTGTTCTGGCCTCTGGGACGTTTTGCGCCTACAATATGGCAGCACCGCTTCCAAGATTACTGTATATTTGAGATAATATGCGGCAATATACGTATGTAGTTTTCGTTCGCATCTGATCTGGTAATATTCGTACAGTGTACAGTCTGTCTTAAAAGTACCGCGCAAAGTGACGGTGGATCCATCAAGCCTGACCGAGGAAGGGCCTGCTATAATTTGAAAGTCACCGAACCAACTGACCTGGGGAATGGACGAGGGTGTCAATTGCTTCGGTGACTCAAATTTAGCAGGCCCTTCCTCGGTCAGGCTTGATGGATCCACCGTCACTTTGCGCGGTACTTTTAAGACAGACTGTACACAGTATAGCTTTGAGCTTTCCATTTTCAACAGATATGACAATGGCCGGATGATACTGGAAATGGTGCCTTTGCTCTGAGCACACGGAACGGGACGCAGTATTGAGTATGCAATTGCAGTCGCACTATGCAGCATGACATACGCCGGAAATCTCCCGGCCCGAACGCCGGAACGGCCAGCGATAGTCGGTACTCATTACGCATAGTGAAAATGGAAACGGTGTCAGCGCAACTCTTCGAAAGGAACGGTGCACTATAGGTACATGAGACTAGACAAAGGGTCACTGATTAGGGCACCCCAAACGGAACGATGTGCACTGCGCAGCGTAATATCAGTGATCAGTGATCAGAGCACCCGCAACAGAACGGAGGGCATCAGTGATCACTGATCAGAGCAACTGCAACGGAACGGAGGGCATCGCTGATCAGGACACCCCAAGCGGAAGGGAAAGCGAGAGCACAACTGACCAGAACACCCGAAACGGAACGGGAGTGAACGGAACGGAACGCATTAGCGGCTCGCCGAATCGCGATTCCGGCCAAACATGGCCTCAAGAAATAAGTCACAGGTCAAAGGTCATTTGGGTCAGGAATATGAAATTTTCAGAGTAGGTGTCCAATTAATTGACTCGAGGGTCCTGAAAGTTTCGTCGCGATCGGCCGCTTTTTACGCGTTATTCTCGAAAAAACGAGGGGGTGGTTCGTTCGACCCCCCCCTATACGGGCGAGGGATAATTTATTAAAAAGCTAGGGCCTTCTTAATCCCATCTACCAGCTTCAGAACATGTATTGGGCAATCTGGGAATACCGTATCTTAAATTTATCCCTAGAGGTGTGCCAAGGTATCCTTTCATTCATCTTGGCTTTCCCTCGGCCGAACGCTTCGTGTTTAAAAACCCTTAGAAACTAATTGAAATGAATAATTGGCGGTAAGATTATTGCAAAGGCATGAGAAATTAACGTAAAATACATCATTACCGTTTTTATAACCTCATTTCGCGTATGAAACCTGCCAGAGTCCAAAGAGTTTCATATTCATCCCTAGGGTGTGCCAGGGTGGCGTGTCAGTCATCTTGAACCCCTTGCCCGACCCGACGCCTCGAGTTTTAAAGACATCTAAAAACTAATAACGTAAATAATTTGTGGTGAAATTGATATAATATGATCAGAAAAGAACGCATAATAAATTAGTGTCGGTCTCAAAACATTATTTTGCCTATGAAACCAGCCAGAGCCCCCGGAGTTTTAAATTCATCCCTAGGGTGTGCCCAGGGTGGCTTTTCTCATCTTGGACCTCTACCAGGCGCGACGCCTCGAGCTTTAAAGTCCTCTAGAAGCCATTGACGGACATAATTTGTGGCGAAATTAATGCGATAGGATCAGAAATAAACGCAGAATAAATTGGCATCGGTCTCAAAACATTATTTTACCTATGAAACCAGCCAGAGCCCGCGGAGTTTTAAATTCATCCCTAGGGTGTGCGCAGGGTGGCTTTTCTCATCTTGGACCTCTGCCAGGCCCGACGCATCGAGCTTTAAAGTCCTCTAGAAGCCATTGACGGACATAATTTGTGGTGAAATTGATACAATAGGATCAGAAATGAATGTAGAATAAGTTGGTATCTGTTTCATACCCCTCTTTTGTAAATGAAAAAAGTTAGAGCCCACCAAGTTTTAAATTCATCCCTAGGGTGTGCCAGGGTGTGCCCAGCTGACTGCGGGTCCAAAGATGAAAATTTTGTAGGCGTATCCTGCGTAACTTAGTCAAAAGCGAATTGCAGAGGTAGTGTTTAATTTGCGCAAGCAGCGGGTCATCCGTTTTGCGTTGGCAGCAAACCACTAATCATAGTTGTTATGAATATCCAAAAGCATTTATTCAGAACACAAGCCTGGTTTTTACAAACAGTTGAGGTGATCAAGGTCATTCAACGCATATTTGTTATTAAGTGTGCAAGGTTATTTTCTTTCGTTGTCAGTCAGGGTGAGTTGTTGGGTTTGTGCCTTGATTTAGCATCTTTTTTTCATGGAAATTATGTATTATGTAGCAAACCTGTAAGTTCTGTCTATATGGCGCTGCTAGGTATATCTGGTAATCTGGCTGTTAATTGTTGAGCAGCATGAGTTGAGCATTTTTCAGAGATGAAAGAATTCCAATTTACCTGGTTTTGGGGATGAAAATATTTTGCCCATTAGGTGTGATTTTCCACCCAAAATTTCCAAAAATGGAACACTGCACTGATACATACACTGACAGAGACACGAGGACACGACCCGGGCGGCCCAGCCAGCCGCCACACATCACACGAGCTATGACACTGACAGAGAAAAGGAGATATGACCAACTGACGAGACATTGACAAAAACACACGGCCACAATGACACAAATACAGAGCACCAACAACACCAACATGATACAGGCGACATGCATAGCTTCAATCAAAGAACAAAGCAATCCCGAATGGCAGTCGGAACATAATAAATATGTCAGACAGAGTGTAATGGCAAAGACGAAGACCCGAGTCTCTGCCACAATGCCAAGTAATGTGGTCACGTATACAGTGTCGCAGTCGCAGGCAGAGACCTAGTCTGTGCATATGTCTGATCATAAATAACATAATATCAATAATCACTGCCATAACAACCAAAATAACCCACATAGCCAGATATTATGTCATCTGCGGCATAATGTAGAGTAGTAAAAATACGAGTAGGGTGCCAATCAACTAACAAAAAAAAAAAAAAGAAGAACGAGGGACATTTCTTCCCCATCTGGCTATTTCCCCATGACTATCGACGAGCCCAAACCGATGACGGCAATGTTGCTGAGGTTCTCACGATGAATCATCCTTCCATTTTAAACGCGACGGTCCGGGAAAATGGCCAACTGAACGTAACTAATTTCCGTGTGCTGATAAATTACAAGGATGTGAGAAACTGATTGTAGTTTAGTAGTATTGCCTAGAGAACCAGCCACCACAATTAAAACAGCGCCGTATGGACGCCATGATAAAGCGCATGGCGCACGTTATCTTGCCGATCGCTATATCTAGTCAATCATGTCGGAATTTAACATGCGCCGCAAACCATTGCAAGACAGTACATGCTGGTTATCATGCTGCTATGAGGGATGGGATGTTCAGCCGAATCTTATTTCGTTATGTTTTAGTGGATATCTATCTTTTTCTTTATCGGAATTGTTGTATACAAATGGTGTAAAATCAACACCTGTGCTAAACGAGTCGATTAAAAACGCCTGAACTGATAATATACCGAGAGAAAAATGGACAGACTAAGTCTTAAGCCAAGCTCAATAATCCCACAGAACGGTCCATTGATATGCTGCGAGCGACCAGCCTCGCCTCTTGCGGGGATCCCGGTGAGTTAGGAACAACGCTGATCGCCATAAAGAGAGGTGGCAGCCTTTTGGTGCAGCGCCCGCGCCATCGATGCCGAATCACCATCCGATATTCTGGCTAGTAGATATCTCGACCACGTCGCTGTCATATTTCATATCCGCTACATTGCAGCCATCCTATCTGTCTCCGACTCTATTCCCTGCGGCCAAACGACGATTACCAGGACCTCCGGCTAGACCGCCGGTATCAAAGGTAAGCCTCCACCCCACCACGGCTATCCCCTCCTGCGCGATCGCGGCAATCCCCTCCTATTACAATAAAAGGTGAGGGATGGTGCAGGCAGACCGTGGCTGTCCAAGCTATCCTCCAGCCCGACTGTGATTACCCCAGCTATGGCCCTCTGGCCACACTCCAGCTATCCCAATTACCCCCTCCAGCCCAGTCCCGCTACTTACAATGAGCTCCACATCATCCTTCTTGATGGCCACCCTGGCCAGTTCGATTTCCCGCTCCATCTTCTCCTGAGCTTCTTTTCTGCGCCGTTCGCCAATCGTAGCCACAGCCTGAGGGCACACAGTGAAAAGTGGTGAGCCAAACAGGACTACAGGCATTCACAATGACTGCTAAACAGTAACCATACCGTGTAAGCAATTGGCTGCAAGTATAGCCCAGTGTCATGAGCCATAGCCTAACCAAACAACCCATCTTTGGCCTGTCCCGTAGCTCAGTTGGTAGAGCATCGGACTCCCGGTAGTGAGAGCCCGGGTTCGAGACGCTCCGGCGCTCGATATTTGAGACTCCTGAAGGGGATGGTCTGCGGTTGGTGGGAGCAGCCGCAGCCAGTTGAAGTCAGTTGAGTGGGACAGGCCGTGTCCGGCTTTGAAGGGCACGTTCAACTTTGGCATCTAAATTGTCCCGTTACCCGGAATTGCGCGATCGGACGGTAGGGGCCGGGGTCTACGCAACAAGCTCTGCTTAGCGTTGGCTCTGGCTCTGTCAATCTGTCCATTCAAGCATTCGAGCTAAATTGATTAAAAAAATCTTGTATTACACAAGAAGTAAAATAAATACACAGTCCAAGAGTTTAAAAAGTATTGGCCTTATTCGAAAGGGTCCAGTGGTTTGCTGAACAAATCCAAGTAAGAATTAAAATATGCAATGTAAGTAGCCTAACAATGTCAGACATGGAGGTAAAATAACAACAAATATGGTTTTACAATTGGCTTGACTTTGAAGACATAAATTTGTTGTTTCATATAGGAAACTGAGGCAATAAGTACCTCCAGCTTACGTTACTTATTAAAACTGAGAAGAGCTTTCTCCTCCGGATTTTGCATCTCATTTATGATGCTTGACAAAACTTTATCAAACCAACTTTAGAAAATTAATAAAATCTATCAAGTAAAAACCTCAGACAAAGATAAAGAGGGGGTCAGAAAACATTGATTCTGCCCTCTAGGAAACACATTGTGCCCCAACAAACTTTCTGCAAGGTTGAAAAAAACTTGTTCAGTGGATAGCATGAGGTAGAGCCTCTTCCTGTTGAGAAAGCAACAAAATCAAAATGTGTTCAGCTTGACAATACAAATTAGCCTAAATGTGTACAAGTTGTGTGTAGGAAGATATCTGCATGACTGATGTGTGTACCACATGTGTAAATGTCAAATTTTTGTTGTAATGGCGCTCTAATCATTTTAGAGTCTACAAAGAATGTTACAAAAGATATTCCAAACTTTTTTGATCACCACCTCTTACATCACATGAGCAAAAAGTAAGGTTTAAAACTACTTTTGCATTTGATAAAATTGGATTTGCACTTTGTAGGTTTCTGGTTATCTAAGTTCATGCATTAATTCTGAAAGATCACATATACAGCAAGTACAATGGTTAAAGTGACCATCCCACCTTAACATTAGTTTTGAATTGAGATAGCCAGAATGGGGTCCCTGGCTTGCACTCACTGGTTTGAGCACTCTCAAGATCGAGAAATGCCTCAACTCGAAAATATCCAAGTTCAAAATTGCAGGACTAAGAATGGGGGCTAATGCATTAGAATGCCCCTCTGAATGTGTCACATCAGTGCAGATCTAACTATTTTAAATCTTTTACTAAAACATTCAAATAAAGTTGCTAGGAACAGCGGAGATCCAAAAAGTAATCCAAAAGCATAAGATATCCTCGCACAAGCACTAACCTCATTAAAGAACAAAAAACAGAGGTGAATATTGCGGCAGGACTGACTGAACACACAAAAAACTCCATTCACTGCTGGGGTACTAGTTACGCTCAAATGTTATTTTCAGGACAGAAAGCTAGCGGCATACCAATATATTTGTATTGATAAAAAAAACAGCAAGCAGCACCAGCATCGACAAAAGCGACGCAGTAAGTAACGTTTCTTACCCCTGTTATGTCTGATGAAATTTCCTTTTCCTCAGCATAGTCGGTCACTCGCTCTAGATCTGCAGCGCCACTGTCATGTTTTACAGATTTCTTTTGATTTTTTACATCAGGGCCGTCGTCAGCCATAATCAAACGAGAAAAACGTTACACACACAAAAGACACCACGCCGCCGCCAAGGAAGAGGAAAAGCAAATAGCAAACAAAGTTTGATTTGAGTATAATACGTCATCAAATGCATCAAATGACGTCATGAAACTGTTTTCTTTGTGCGAGGAACATATTGGCTAAAGTAAAACATTTTAGTTCAGTTGCCTGATCCTCGTAGCTGAAAAGTTCAAGCGAAACACTTGTCTATTGATAATTTCGAGCACAGCTCTTCAGCAAAATATCAAACACCTAAAAAATAACTTTTTCCTTTGCGACGCCCAGGGGTGCAGCTGGAGCCGGAGCCGCCGGTGCCGGCATATTTTGCCCGGAGCCGGAGCCGGAACCGTAAAAAAAGGGCGCCTCCGGCTCCTTTTTTTGAAGAGGAAAAAATTATTGACCTTATTCGGTTTGACAGTACAGGGCAGTAAAACATGTGGTAGGTATTCAAAATATGAAAGTAGCCAAGGCCCTAAAAGCAAAAATAGCCTTGTTATGCAAATACAGAAGCAACGTGTACCAATCCTTTTGCCTTTTTTCTTCCACCCGTATTTAATTGCATAGGGGATGTACTGAGTACCTACCTACTGGAGCTGGAGCCGCCGGAGCCGGACCATTTTACTCGGAGCCGGAGCCGGAGCCGGAGCCGCCATGACATTTCACCGGGAGCCGGAGCCGGAGCCGGAACCGTCTTCCACGGCTCCGCATCCCTGTCGCCTGATCACGATACCATGTAGGCAGAGCCTATTTTAAGGGAATTTGACTGGGGGGGCAACCTGGAAAATTGTCTTTTATAATCCATTAACCCTCGCCCGTATTATTGTTTCCAGTAGCGAGCGTATAGGGGGGGGGGGGGGTCCGTTGGCCCCTGATCGAGCTAGAGCTTCGCGGAAAAAACGACCGTGTTGCCCGTGATGAAAGGAAGCCGATTATACCCAATTTTAAGGTCCTAGGTCATCGGTTGACCTTCCAGGTCAGGTCATTGACCCAAAAGTCGGGAAAATCGGGACCTGTTAGAGCGTCGTAAAGAGTGGCTGCTATGGTTTTTCGGGGTGCTGATCACGAATATCATGTTAGTTATGATCATAGATGATGTCTTCATGCATTTAGGCCAGGTCAGGTCAGGTCAACCAGTAAGGGTATTGCCGGGTATTCGTAGTAGGTGGCAACCGCCTCTGAGAGCTTCGTAACATGTTACGAAGGCACCAAAACTACTTCGTAAATGGTCAAATGGTTGCTTAATTCGAATTCAGCTCCAAAAACTAGCCTAGAAACATATAAAACTCGAAAATGTGAACCGAGGTCATCAAAGGTAAATGATCTGACCTGACCTTCCGGTGATCTTGACACCCACCCTAATGCATGGGAGCAACATCATATCCCATGTTTGAACGTTTGAAACCACGAAAAGACTGCAAACGCGCGGCTAATGCGAGGCGACACACGCCGAATCGCGACCTCGGCCAAACATGGTGCCATGGTGCTAGGCCGCCGGTGCATCTGAAAGAACTGTGGTGCCCCTGACAAGCCTGAAGTTCCAACGACAGGCCCGTGGTGCCCCTGACAGGCCCATGATGCCTTTGCGAGGCCGATGGTGTCCACGTGAGGCCGGTGGTGCCCCTGGGCCCTGACAGGACTGTGGTGCTCCTGACAAACCTGGAGTGTCCCCGACAGGCACGTGGTGCCACTAACAGGCCCAAGGTGTCCCAGTCCCTGCGAGGCCGGTGGTGTCCCTGCCAGGCATGTGGTGTCCATACTAGGCCTCTGGTGCCCCAGACAGGTCCGTGGCGCCCTTGCTAGGCCTATGGTGCCTCTGGCAGGCCTATGGTGCCCCTGGCGGGCCTGTGGTGGTACACTCGAGGGCAGATTGATGTTCCACCGCTCCCTACCCATCGGGCTCCCATGGCCCAGCACTGGCTGCTGCCAGTGTTGTTGCCTGTCCTCAGCACTGGTCAGCACTGCCTGCCAGTGCCAGTGCTGCCAGTGCTGCCACTGGCAGCAGCCAGTGCTGAGCCATGGGAGCCCGATAGGTAGGGAGTGGCGGAACATCATTCTGCCCCGAGTGTACCCCTGACAGGCCCAAGGTGGTGCCCCTGCGAGGCCGGTGGGGCCCCTGGCAGGTCTGTGGTGCCCCTGGCAGACCTATGGTGCTCTTGCTAGGTTGATGGTGCTCCCAACAGGCCTGAGCTGTGGTGCCCCTGACAGGCCGGTGGTGCCCCTGGCAGGCCTGTGGTGTCCCCGAGCCCCAAGAGGGTGGGGGGTCATGAGTATGACCCATATGACCCACCCTTAGATACACCACTGGTCATTACTTACAGACTGACTCATTTGACATCCATTGCAAAACAAGTCACAGTAGTTACGTAGTATGTTTGTCACCCTGTTCCTTTATGCCCATTTTTATAGTGGGCAAATCTCGACGACTAGGGGGGCAATTCTGTTGAGTGCGGGGGCATTTGCCCCCCCAGTTAACATGTTAAAATAGGCCCTGCATGTAGGTGTATCAAATTCAGTGATCAACACATGATCGTAGTCCTCACTCGTATGGGGGGGGGGGAGGGGCGTCAAACGGACCCCCTCGGTTTTTCGCGAATAACTCGCGAAAAAGCGGCCGATCGCGACGAAACTTTCCATGCCCTTGAGATAATCAATTCTCGCCAGTCTTCCGAAGAAAATCACTGGTCTGGATCACGACTGTTGTTCCCTGGGGCCTGGCTAGTGGCTCATTAACCCTCGCATGTGTAGGGGGGTCGGATGGACCCCCCATGGTTTTTCGCGAATAACTCGCGTAAAAAGCGGCGGATCGCGACGAAACTTTCAGTACACTCGAGTTGATCAATTTCACACCTACTCTGAAAATTCCATGACCATGACCCAAGTGACCTTTGACCTGTGACCTATTTCTCGAACCCGTGTTTGGCCGGAATCGCGATTCGGTGTATGTCGGCTCACATAAGCCGCGCGGCGCGTTTGCAAGCTTCTCGTGGTTTCAAACATTCACACATGTGATTTGATGTTGTTCCCATGCATTTGGGTGGAGGTCAAGGTCACCTGAAGGTCAGGTCAGGTCATTGACCTTTGGTGACCTCGGTTCACTTTTTCGAGCTTTATGTACATGTTTCTAGGCTAGTTTTTGGAGTTGAATTCGAATTTAGAAGCTATTTGAACATTCACGAAGTAGTTTTGGTCAGGGCTGCGGAGTCGATGGATTTTCGGCGACTCCGACTCCGACTCCAACTCCGGCTTTTAAAAACCAGCTCCGACTCCGACTCCGACTCCGGGCAGAATTGTCGACTCCGACCGACTCCAACTCCCGACTCCGACTCCGCAGACCTAGCAGGGCTGCGGAGTCGATAGATTTTCGGTGACTCCGACTTCGACTCCGGCTCAGGTTTCTAAAATCGACTCTGACTCCGACTCCGACTCCGGTCACAACTGTCGACTCCGACCGACTCCGACTCCGGCTCCGACTCCGACTCCGCAGCCCTGGTTTTGGTGCCTTCGTAACATTTTACGAAGCTGCCAGAGGCGGTTGTTACGTACTACGAATACCCGTCATGACCTCTACCGGTTGACCTAACCTGACCTGACCCGACCTGGTCTAAATGCTTAAAGATATCACCTGTGATCAAAACTAACACGATATTCGTGATCAGCAACCCGGAAAACCCCTTAGCAGCCACAATTTACGACTTTCTAACAGGTCCCGATTTCCCGACTTTGGGTCATTGACCTGACCTGGAAGGTCAACCAATGACCTAGGACCTTAACCCGCGCACCGACGGGGGGGTGGATATCCGCCCCCCCTGAGGTTTTTCGCGAATAGCGGGAAAACTGCTTACCGCGGCGCGTAGCGCCGCGAAATTTGGTATGACTATAACCTCATCAATTTTACACATGGTGTGCAAGTTTGAGCCTCCTACCTTTTAAAGGGACCCTCCCACCTTCAAAAAAGTTAATGAATTGGCACGAAAGTGATGTCGCTCGGTTCAGAAAGAGCGAAAACGAATATCTACCAAATTTCATCGAAAAATATTCACCGGTTTTCAAGATATTAGACTTTTACTTTTGTTTACTTTTTGGGATCTCCGCTGTTCCTAGCGACTTTATTTGAAAGTGCGGCATTTGTTGCGCGCAAAGCAGCATATACCACCGCGTGCTACCAAACGTTTTAGTAAAAGATTTAAAAATCGTTAGATCTCCGCTGACGTCACAAATTCTAAGGGGGCATACCAATGCACTAGCCCCTTAGAATCCGAAAACTGCAAGTTTGAAATTCCATATCTCCGAATTAAAGCATTTGTCGATGTTGTGAGTGCCCAAACCGGTATTTGCAGGCCATGGCCACCAATTTGGCTATCTCAACTCAAAACTAATGTTAAGGTGGGAGTGTCCCTTTAACCCTCGCCCGTAAACGGCGATCTGCCACCTTCGCCCATGCAGGGGGGGGGGGGGTTGGTGCGACCCCCACCCTTGGCGTTTGAAAACGGAGCGTCGTAGAGCTTAGCGGAAAAGACCAACGGATTGCTCTCGCCGAGATCTCGCGATTGGTGGTATATTTTTTGGTCCTAGGTCAACATTTGACCTATTTTTGACCGGTCAAAGGTCAAATTTTCGGAAAAAATGGACTTTTTCAACTTTCCGCGGCGATTGCGGCAAAACGGTGGAAGATATCGACTTGAAACCTTCACTATCGTGTTCCTTGATCAATTCTCTATCGTTTGGCATGTATTTCGTTTCCTTAGCTCTAAAAATGGCGCGTTGGGAGCGCCGGAAGTCGGCAAGGTCACAGTCGGCGGCAGAAATTCGAAAAATCAAAATTTAAATTTTTGAAATCTGATTACGAGCGAGCGAGCGCAGCGAGCGAAGTGAGTCTTTTCAATATAACGGAAAAATCTCAGTATGAGCGGCCCGGCCCGGCCCGGCCCGGCCCGGCCCGCCGCCCGGCCCGGCCCGGCCCGGCCCGGCCTGTAACGCTTTTGAGAGGCTTATATCTCAGCAACCGCTGGATCGATTGGCCTGCGGTCTTTTTTGTTGGGTAGCCCCATCCCTTCTACCCCGTAATTGACTACTTTTGATACATCTCAGTGACCGCCGTGGCACGTGCCACGTGAAAAGTCAAGGGTGTTCAAGCAGTTTTGCAAAAGTAGTGATTTTGAGAGGCTCATATCTCAGCAGCCGCTTGGGCGATTGACTTGCGGTAACTTTTGTAGGGTAGTAGCATCCCTTCTACCCAAAATAGGATACTCTCGATGCATGTGGGTCACCCCCAGCGCACGTGCAAAATACAACAATAAGAGGTGCCAAGTTTGTTCCCATTTCAGTAACTCGGTAATTACTGGTGCGATTTCGCTGAAACTTGGCATACAGGTAGGCACCCACCAGACAATGCATTCCCATGTGTTGCGGTTGGGGTGCTACTGCACGTGCGCACGTGCAGGGGGCGTTTCCAGATCTCGAGAACGGCTGGGCCGATTGCGCTCAAATTTAGTACACGGTTGGGGACCAGTTAGTAGGGTGCCGTGCAAAAGTCATTTTGGACCCCGTTTGCACGTGCGCACGTGCAGAATGCCGTTTCCAGATCTCAGGAACGGCTGGGCCGATTGTGTTCAAATTTGGCACACCGCTAGCGACCGGTTAGAAGGGTGCTTTGCGCAAGTCCGTTGGAAGCACCCTCTCGCCCTTCCGCACGTGCAGGGCTCACTATCTCGCTCGCTCGTTCTTCGCCCAAAAGGCGTTTTACTGGTTGTATTTTTGGATTTGGGAGGTCCATTTGCTCCCTATAGAAGCTAATATTGCTGCATATTCCCAGTGAGGTGACAAGAATTAGCAAAATAGTGGTTCGGGCGCTTTTCAAAAATAGTACCGGAGCTGTTCCTCTTGTGACGTCATAGCTCCGTGACCTGACCTGACCCGGTCAAGTTTCTTATACCATATGATAGCCAATACTTGCCCCAACATGCATGGGAAGTTTCATCACGATCCATCAACCGATGTCCGTACCACCGGCAGGAAACCTCGGGCGTTGGCACTCAGTTTGTGAAAATCCGGCCGGAGGCTGTTCCCTTTGTGACGTCATAACTCCGTGACCTGACATGACCCGGTCAATTTTTTGTTATCAAAAGATGCGCAAGGTTTGCCCCATAAGGTACCCAAAATTTGGCGGCGCTGCGCGCCGCCGTTTTTGCACTATTTCCGAAAAGCCTCAGGGGGGGGGGGGGGGGTTGCAAAACTATCTACATGGGCGAGGGTTAAGGTCAGGTCACCAGGTCACTTTGAATGACCCAACCTCAAGTCACTTTTTTGCAACTTTGTCACCGTGCCAGAGCTACAGTAGATGTCGGAGGCCTTTGAAAGTCGCAGGATATTATTAGGTCATTAGCAGCTACAATTTGTTTATCTCGGAATTTTGATATCGGTGACCTAAGGTCAGGTCAATTTCGCGACCTCCCCATTATAAGTCAATGGGGGAAAAATCAACTCCCTGTTTTTACCACTAAAACGGGTCGGAATGGCCCCATATACCATACATGACTTCATATACGATCAACCTTCACTACCTTGAGGTCTGTTTTGCTGTTGGGCAGCTGTGAGGTCATGTGACGTCATCAAAGGTCACCAAAGGTTTTTGGCCAATAACTCCGTACAGGAACAAGATACAGACGCGTGGATGGTCTCATTGTGTTCAGCTCGTCAAGACGCATCGAATGATATACATGATGACCTCGAGGTCACGTGACCTGAGGTCAACCTTTGACCTTGACCTTTCGAGGTCAACATATATATCATTCGATGCGGATTGACGAGAGGATCACGATGATGCCCTTAGTTTGTTCCTATCTTGACTAATTCGAAAGTTATTCGAGAAAAACTCTCTCCATATCTAGCGCCGCCATTTTGACTTTTTCGACCCCTGTGACGTCATCTTTGACCTGACCTGAAAATGACCTTTGTAAAAATTGTAGATCTTGGCCGTGCGTATCCGATGCCGTTCACCGCTTGTCGCTATCTTGCTTCGTTCTCGAGAGCTCCGGGGGGGGGGGGGGTGCGGTCATCCGCCCCCCCCCCCCCCGTCGGTGCGAAGTTGGCGCAGACCCCCGTCGGTGCGCGGGTTAAAATTGGGTATCATCGGCTTCCTCTCGTCACGGGCAACACGCTCGTTTTTTTCCGCGAAGCTCTAGCTCAATCAGGGGCCAAACGGCAAGGGGGGTCCAACCGACCCCCCCCCCCCCTACACATTAGAAGCTGGCAAACGCCGCACACATGCGAGGGTTAAGTCTGCGAACTCAAGCAGCGCCAACCTAGAGTTCAGATTACCTATACAGTGGGCAGTGGCGATAGGTCCTCTCGGATTTGCCGTTCCCATTGCCGGCGTTAGGAACTTAGGCTTGTGTCGCGTCATACCCCTGGCCGCTAGCCACGCTGCGATAAGGCGCACATCGAGGGCGTATCGCGCCGGCCAGGGCCGCGGTCGGTCGGCACGTCGGTGGTACGACCTGTGACCGACCGGTGCGCGGCGTCACAGCGATGTGGGCCCTATCTCTCTATCGGTGGCACACGACCCTCATCGTCACGTGCCCGGAGCCAGTCTGAGGGGTGACGCGGTGAGCGCGACAGGGTCGCCATCCGACCTCTGTGCACGCGCCCTGACCTGGGGCACTGGCCGGTGACATTTGCAGTGATCCGAGGAAGTGACCGCTGACCTGGGTCACTGGAGAATCGTGACCGGGGAGAGTGACGGTCAGCGTGGGGCGTGGGTATTTTGGGATGTTCTGTGCGACTTATCATTGATCTACGCCAGTGATGCATGTCTTCGAACGAGGAAGAATCCGATCACCTCCAGTTCTATCTTCGAATAGCGTTGCCTACAGGATGATTCAATGATTGACTATCTGTCAATTCATTGTGTTACAGAGTTTCAGAGATCTCGTCACCACTCTGTCGGCTGTTACGTGTGTTCGTGAGTAGTGAGCGATCCGGAACATCAAGTTTCTGAAACGGCACAATCGGTACATCGAGTTTCGGAACCGGAACAATTGGAACAGCCAACTTCGAAACCGGAACGATCGGAACATCATGAACGAGTGAGCTCAGGCGGCCGTGATGAGTCCGTATGCCAAGCGCCAGCCGAAGTCGTGAGTCTTCCTATTGTTAGACGTGACTCGTGAGTCGGAGCCGTGAGTTTTCACCAACTGAGGCTGTGAGTTTGCTCTGATGATAACCGTGAGACGGCACTAACCGTGAGTGTGCTTCAATCAGAGCCGTGAGTGTGTTCCGACGATAACCGTTTGGCGTCGCGAGCCGTGAGAGTGCCCCACCCGTGAGCGTTCTCCGTTCGTGAGTGTGCTACGTCCGTGGATCTCCCTCGGTGTATCCGTGAACACTCGCCGCCATGTTCCGGCTGAAGCGGCAGCAGCAGGCGCCCGTGCTGCCGCTGCCGGTGCGCCGCCTCTGGACGGTGGGGGCCTCCGGCTCGGTGTCTCTGTCCTCCTACATCCTGGTCGGCTACTGCATCAACCAGGTGGCCGGTGCCGGCACCCTGGTCTCCGTCATCATCGCCAGCATAATGGCGGCCATCACAGGTGGGCCGACACGTATAATGGATGAGTGACACAGCCCGGCATGACACGTCCACTGCAATGTCTATCAATCGCCATTATAGATATAAGGTGGGCTGACACGTACATACGCCTTGCCTCGCGCAGCCCATAGGCACATCCACTCACAAGTCACATCCACTTATAATTACATGATTCAGGACCTTAACCGGCGCCAAAGTGCTCGGATTGTGGCATCGAGGCGAGGGAAGGACGTTTTAACGTCTATCCTCCCTTAAACTGGGGGCGTCTGGTCACGTGGTGACGCGTGTAAAAGGCGTTGGATAGAGTCGAAAATAATGAAATCAAATCGGTCAGCTTTTGAGTCAGGTCATGAAATGTCACCGAAAGGTCAAATTGTCCCTATTTTGGCAATCCGGACAAATAAGATCATAGTTCTATGCATGTAGTTTGAATTTCAAATGACATTTTTATTCGATAGTTAATTAAAATTGGCAATTGCTGTAAAAAGCAATAATCCCGCAACATAGACAGTGTTTACAATTGTTTCACGTGCAAAGAGAGAATATTATCAGATGTCGTGTAACTGATTGGTTAAACGTCAATAGTTCGTTTTTTTCTAAGTTTGATCCTCACTGTAAACATCTTTTTGAACACAGCACGAGAATAACTAGCTAAATTACTGAGAAAACTGGTTAGCGCACATTGTATTACAGATATGAATCATAATTTCAAAATACGTTTTTAACACCCATAGGTAATGTACGTACTGCTATGTGTTAAACGTCACACGATTTATTAATTACTTTAGTTATAATTCCTGGTAGGTCGTCTATCCCTTCTGGGCTGTAAATACGAGCTGAGAGTCTGGGAGCTAGGAGCAAAGTAGAAATAATTTTGATGAAGTTTGTCGTCTGCAAGGCCGTATGTCGTCTGTGAAATCAATGTGCATTGTGCGCTGACCAGTTTTCTCAGTAATTCAGCTAGCAATTCTCGTGCTGTGTTCGGAGAGACGTTTACAGTGAGGGTCAAACTTAAATTATACCGCACCGTAGACAGTGTTTACAATTGCTTCAGTGCAAAGAGAGAAAATTATCAAATGTCGTGTACCTAACTGATTTGTTAAAAGTCTAGGCGATTAACAAACTGTTAAATGTCTAGTGGACATTACGTCTAGTTTGAAATATGTCGTATTTTAATATAAAACTAGGTGTCAAGCATTACGCGCAGCAGTGGCGCAGCCAGGATTTCATTTCGGGGGGGGGGGGTCATCGCCTCCAAAGCGGGCCCCCTAGTGTGCGGGCCCCCCACCCATTTTTCAGAATCTCTCCATATTTCATACACATTCTGCTGAGCGGGCCCCCTTTACCTGCACTATAACCCTGAGCGAGTTTGAATCAGAACATTTGGATAGAACAATAGCTCGGTAATCACCCGGCGTTCAATTTTTACGCAAATTGACCACGACAGAAATATGTTACTATGATGTAAGAATTCGTATCTTTCGAGGCCGAAATGTGCCCCTTCCGCAATATGCATAGCATATATGCAATCGGAGCTGTTGCCTGCTTCTGTCGGACAATATTTAACTAGTCCCATGTTCCTGTTCTAAGTCATCTTATATTGGCTGCTGTAGTAGATTGTGCCTTTATTCTTCTTCATTACGTGAATTCGCTCACAAGAAGTTTTAACCCTCGCGGCACAGGTGGGAAGGGGCAACCCTTCTAAAGTTTTTTTTTTTCGCAAATAACTTGCGTAAAAAGCGGCTGATCGCGACGTAACTTTCAGTACCCTCGCGTTGATCAATTTTACACCTACCCTAGAAATTTTATGACCCTGACCCAAATGACCTAAAGGTCAATTAAAGGTCAAATTCCGACCTAAAGGTCGGAAAGTAGGCCAAAGTTGGCCTTCTTTCCGAGACCATGTTTGGCCAGAATCGCGGTTCGGCGCATGCCGGCTCGCATTAGCGGCGCGTTTGCAGTCCTTTCGTGGTTTCAAGTGTTCAAACATGTGATTTGATGTTGCTCCCATGCATAAGGGTGGATGTCAATGTCACCTGAAGGTCAGGTCAGGTCATTGACCCAGGCGTGGATACAAGGGGGGGGGCCATGGGGGCCATGGCCCCCCCTTGGCCGATTTTTTTCAAAAATAAAATAAAAAGTTAAAAAGTTAAAAAGCTGAAAAGGGGGACTCCTGAAAATAAAGTGGCCGAAATCCGATGAGTTTTTTTTTTTAACCTACCCACTTAGTTATTTCTTAGAAGACTAGCTGAGAAGACTTCTTTGTTAGAAGATTGGTAAAGCTTTTCATAACTTGGAGGTCTCTTATACTCACAGAGATGACCACTTTTACAGGGCCTCCTAACCTGCACAGAGGGCCTCCAAGCCTGCACAGATGTTGAGATGTTGCCTGAACAGCTAGATAAGCTCAATAGACGCAGTTTTTTTTGGGGGGGGGGCCCAACAAGTGGGAAGATGGGGCCTCCAACAGGTGGGATTATGGGGGGGGGCCTCCTGGTTTCTAATGGCCCCTCCCTTGGAGATTTTCTGGATCCGCCCCTGCTGATTGACCTATGAGGACCTCAGTACACTTTTTCAAGCTATGCCGTCTGTCAAGACAGCCTCAGATTCAGATTCACTTTCAGAATCACATTCGGACCCCCGTAGATTTTCATAAAAACTGGTCCATAGGTACAGTTTTGGACGCTGATTCCAATGGTGAAGTTTGTTTTTCGCCACATATTATACTTTGGCCCCTAGAGGCATTCAAAGTTTTTTGGGGCGAAGGGGGACCCCCTTAGATTTTCATAAAAACTGGTCCATGTGTACAGTTTTGGACGCTGATTCCAACGGTGAAGTCTGTTTTTCGCCACATATTATACTTTGGCCCCTAGAGGCATTCAAAGTTTTTTTGGGGGAAGGGGGACCCCTTGGATTTTCATAAAAACTGGTCCATGTGTACAGTTTTGGACGCTGATTCCAATGGTGAAGTCTGTTTTTCGCCACATATTATACTTTGGCCCCTAGAGGCATTCAAAGTTTTTTGGGGCGAAGGGGGATCCCCTTAGATTTTCATAAAAACTGGTCCATGGGTACAGTTTTGGACGCTGATTCCAATGGTGAAGTCTGTTTTTCGCCACATATTATACTTGGGCCCCTAGAGGCATTCAAAGTTTTTTTTTTGGGGCGAAGGGGGACCCCCTTAGATTTTCATAAAAACTGGTCTATGTGTACAGTTTTGGACGCTGATTCCAACGGTGAAGTCTGTTTTTCGCCACATATTATACTTTGGCCCCTAGAGGCATTCAAAGTTTTTTGGGGGAAGGGAGACCCCCTTAGATTTTCATAAAAACTGGTCCATGTGTACAGTTTTGGACGCTGATTCCAATGGTGAAGTCTGTTTTTCGCCACATATTATACTTTGGCCCCTAGAGACATTCAAAGTTTTTTTTGGGGCGAAGGGGGACCCCCTTAGATTTTCATAAAAACTGGTCCATGTGTACAGTTTTGGACGCTGATTCCAACGGTGAAGTCTTTTTTTCGCCACATATTATACTTTGGCCCCTAGAGGCATTCAAAGTTTTTTTTTTGGGAAGGGGGACCCCCTTAGATTTTCATAAAAACTGGTCCATGTGTACAGTTTTAGACGCTGATTCCCATAGTGAAGTCTGTTTTTCGCCACATATTATACTTTGGCCCCTAGAGGCATTCAAAGTTTTTTTTTTTGGGGGAAGGGGGACCCCTTAGATTTTCATAAAAACTGGTCCATGTATACAGTTTTGGACGCTGATTCCCATGGTGAAGGCGTATTTACAAATTGCAACCGAGCTCCGCCGTGGGGTAAGGTGGGCAGGGGTTTTCGCACTACGGCTGCGGTTGAACTACCGTCTGTGGTAGAAACTTCAGGATGATGGCGCGTTTCATACGAAATCTGGCGCAATGTTTATTTGCTTCTGAACTTGTATTGTTATTGCTGTGAACTCTTGAAGTGGGGGTGTTTCAATTACAGTTTGTGGATTATTTGGGTTTCTTGATATAAAAATCGAATAATATTATGAAACATTGTGTGGAAACTGCAAATACTGATATAATCAATTGCTTAGTTTGGGAATTGATACACATTTTGTAGAGGTTTGTCTGGCAAATCGTGTAACAAACTTCAAGCCTATCATGATCTGAAGCTGTTGTAACAAATCAAAATTGCTTTGATGTTCCATAGTACCTTGTTGGAAAGACTGGAGCATGGTTCAAGATGATGTGTAAAAATTCAAGATTTGTGCAAAAGCTTACGACTGAAGAGTGAAAACAGTTCTATATGATGGCTCAATCAAATGTGGAAATGGACGACAAAAGTAGAGTTTCAACATTCGAGCATGTGAGAATAACTTCAGAACTTCATAGTTCTTGTAGCATTGCATTCTTCTTTTGTACAGTTCTAGGTTTTGCTAGGGTATTTCAATTTCAATGTGTCAGTTGAGATATATGTGGATTGCGGACAAAATTTAGAATCATTGCATGGTAGATATGTACTTGTTCAGTAAAAAGGTATGTGATGAATGCGACGATAAAGTTTTTTTATGATTAAATATATGTTCATTGTTGTACCTACAAAAATGCAAGCTTACTAGCACCTAGTTATTGAATCAAATCGAAAGTATTTGCTATTAATGTAAATATGTACCTGCAAAGTATGTCAATAAATTTGTGTGATGTTGACCAGAGAGCTGTATCATCTGGGCATTTATGTTGCTTCTTACATTTGGTGTTAAGCATAGTAATTATGGATGAACTTTGTGCCAATATCTTCAATTCACAGTGTATGTAGCATGTCTACAGCCCTCACTGATCCTGCTATAGCTATAGGCATTTGACTCCAGCAAGACCAAGGGCATGAACTTCACAGTTGCGCAACCCTTTTCTTGTACCACCAGTCACTTTTTTTCCTTAAGGTGCACATGGCAGTGTACACAATAATGCACAGAGGGCCTACACAAAAACAGCATGATTAGTGTGCACTATGAT